GATCCTGTACGATCAATACCCCCAATTAGGTATTATAAAGAGCAAACTTGAACTGAACTCACCACTTTACATTGGATTTATAGACATAAAAAGCATTTGACAGAAGATAGGGAACTCTGGAATTGAGGGGGCACATGGAACCCACAGAAAATTATAAATTTAGTAAGGCAACAAAAAAGACATGAAATGTCGGTTCTTCATGGGGGAAAAGCAACAGTCATTTAAAATAAAAACGGTGGGCGGGATGTCTTTTGTGCCTCTCTTTTTTACGGGTATAAATGGACTATGAAAACATAATGCTCACCAAAAGGAATTCAGGGGCCCCCTACAAAACAGCTTGATGTCTGGACTTCGTGATAATTGCTTTTCTGTCCCATTCACGAATCAATCAAGAAAAAATAAATATTTTAATCGAGATCCAGCGTTTGGTCTAAAAAATCCAAAAAGGGAAAAGACAAAAAAAGAAAAAATAGGAAAATTTAAAATGGGGTTTCTTTTAATGCACCCCACCCAAACGTGATGACACCTTTTGGGCAGTAATTAGAAAAAGATGGATGAACTGATAAGATATTAAAATAAGAATAAAAGGCAAGAGGGCTTTCATGCACTAGGAATTTGTGGGGGTCAAAAAAAATTAAAAAAATCAAAACTAAAAATTTTTTTCTAATGTCAAATCAGTATATTGTTGGGCGGAAACAAAAAAAAACCAAAGGAAATTTACTAAAAAATTACAGCATTCAAAACTGGTGCCTGTGCAAAAAAGAGGGAATAAAGTGGTATGATAGAAAACTAATGTAAATTTTTGGGAGAAAAAACAGCTCCAGGGGACGGGAAGTGGGGGAAAAGACGCTGGCTTTGGATGGGGGACACACGAAAAACGGGAACAGCATTAAAGAATGTTTTTGCATTGGAACCCACGGGGGCATGGGAATAAAGGGAAAGGCCAAAAAACACTGGAAAGAAGCTTAACGAGGTTTTAAAAAAATTGGAGGACATGGGGGGAGCTCCATGCAAAGGCGAAGGATAGAAAAGACTTGGCGGGTTGGTTTAGGGGCCCATGCTTCATTGGGGATAGAAAGGAAAGAAGAAAAAAAGCCGGTCTGTAAAAAACGACCCGCATGCAAAACTCAAAACTGGAAAAAAAACCAAAAACCCGAAGGGATGAAAACCCCGAAATTTCAGCAGGAGTTCCAGCTATGAACACAAAAGGGAAAAAACAAAAGAAAAATAAACTAACTTTTTTTTTTCTTCAAAGGATTAAGAATTGGGCACGCAGGCCGTCTAATATTGGCCCTTATCAGTTAACCCTAGTCCTCTCGTCCTTTCATTAAATCATTGTACATCATAATATCAAATAATAATAAACATTAATTACCAATAGCATCAAAATATTCAACACAAGCACTGAAATGTGCACTTTTTCTACCGACAGTAAAACTGTAGTAGTTGTAATAGATCTTGGGAAATGTGGCGTAGAGAAAAGAAGAAGGTGGGAAAGAAGAAGGAGAGAAGAATACATCCATATTATTACTTTTAAGCTCGAACTCCTTGTATGGAAAGAGTTAAATAACATGTGCTTGGGACTAAAAGAACTCAATACACAGTTGTACCTTTTCAATTACTTTTGGAAGTGTACTTGTGGATGGAGTTCCTTGTAGTCTGCTCTGCTGCATCTCTCTCACAATATTGCGACATAAACTTCTATGCCTTGAATTCAAACAGATTCAGATAACTTGTTATCACAATTCAATACAATTGGAATTATTATTCAAAATAATGGTAGTCACGCTTGAACAATAACTAGGACACTACCTTATTCTCGTGAGAAAAGTCCTTGCTGAAATGACTCTTATAACACTTTGCCTGAAAGAAACTACAAGTCTCTTGTTAATGTTCCACTTATCACTTTCCTAACAAGATGTCAATTTTATACTTAGTCGCCCATTTCAGGCTGTCATCTTCTGCCCACTTTACGGTACCGGTTTCTGTATTATTATTGTTCCAATCCATGAGGCGCTTGATACTGGCCAAATATTTCAGCTTCTGAGACAAGATGCTTGTTTACTAGGCAATCTCCTTGATGTCAGATTCTTTTAGAATGCATTATACTTTTTTCTTTGTCCAGGTAGGATACCACACATTATGTGAAATGAAAAGTCTTATGTTCAATTATTACTGGACGGGAATTTTTATAAATGAACTAGATCTTCCAGGTCAAGTCCTTGGCTAAAAGGGCACCAGGAAATGTACTGGGACATAAAGGTGACCAGCATGTGTTGAACACATGACCCAATAATGTGCTGACTGACCTATACAAGTCTAGCCACATATACAGATAGGCCAAAGGCATAAAGAGGGGTCATTTACTTCTAGCTGAACAGGACTCTCAAATCACACTTTGCCTGAAAGAAACTCAAGTGGTCTGAGATTTCAAGATTCCCTGACCCCATTTTGAGCGGGAAAAGAATAGACCCACTGACACTCCAACAAGCATACTGTAAAGAAAAGAAAAAAAGAGAAAAAAAAACTAATTAGGGGTGTTTTCTTCAGAGTCAGAGCGCATCTGCCTGAGATGTGAGGAAAAATTCTCGTTTAAAAAATAAGCTGGATCTTTAAAACAAATATGCAAGCAAAAATCTGGAACAAGACTAAAGTCCAGAAATGGAGGAACAACCAGAACTTTCCATAGGAGTCTACAGATGGGTAACATGAAGAAGAAAAAGAAACACCATCGAGGAAGTTTCCGAAATGCACCATGGCTCCCAGGTCCACCAGTGCGAAAACAATTACCAGGAAATATTGAGGAAAGTAATGGCAGCTGACATGCTTCACAAATCATCACCCATTAAGCACTGATTGGTCTAAGGCAGAGGGAGACACAGAGAAAAGATGCTGGACAGTCTGACATCGTGATATGGAGTATTATCGGTGTCAGAGTTTACTGAAAGTACACCAGACAGAAGGTTGTAGATAGACATGACCACCAATACCACACAGTATTGACATTAATGTTTGGTTTATGTATGATAAACCAGTGGAAACATTCTGGCTTTTTTTTTAATACCCCGCGGAATGAATTCTATTTAATGCTTAAATTTAAGCCGTTAAAGCTCATAATTTTGGGTGACAAAAATAAAGAGGTGCTGCAGTTCCGCGATGCCTACATATGAGCCACCAACGCCGAGGTTCAAATGCGGGTCTTGTAAATGAAAACTCAGCACTTCAAAAACTTGGCCAGCCACTCCTATAAATTTAAACACACAAATGAAAACAGTCTGTATAAATGATATAGACTCTACCTCTACCATCTTACCTGCACTGTTTTATTCAACTGTTGAATCTTGGAACTCTGGGCTTTGTTCAAGGACTCCTCTAGCTAGAGAAACAATGTGAGGAAAAGTTTGAAGCAATATGATGTAATTAAGTATCTCTTTCACCCTCTCTATCTCTCTGTCTGTGTGTGTGATTGGGTATGTGTACATATGTCTGTTTGTGTGTGTGTGTGTCTGCATTTGTTTCTAAGGGTGTGTCTCTATGTTTATATCTGAATGTTTGTATGTGTGTGGAATGTGCATGTCTCTGTGGGTATGTAGCTATGTATGTGGGTGAATGGGGTGTGTTTATGTGTGTGAAGGTTTGTGGGTGTGTTTAAGTGAGTGGGTGGGTGGGTGTGTGTGTGTGTGTGTGTGTGTGTGTGTGTGTATGTGTATGCATTTTACCACCCATGCTTTTGTGCTTTTTTTCTCTCTCTTTTTTGATATTCATAATATGCATATTATCATATAAATATAACATGCTTATTGATAAAATACAGCTGCGTGTGAAAGACGGGTGTTTGGAAGGGCCGAATGTAAGACGGGCCTGCGTGCCCAATTTGTGACCCTTTGAAAATAAAGTTTGTTCGTTGATTCATTCATTCGTTCGTTCTCTCTGTCTCGCTCTCTCTCTCCATGCTTTTGTATTTTTACTTAATGTTCATAGTATGTTATTTATTTATTCATTTAGTTAGTTAGTTGGTTGGTTGGTTAGTTAGTTAGTTAGTTAGTTAGTTAGTTAGTTAGTTAGTTAGTTAGTTAGTTAGTTAGTTAGTTAGTTAGTTAGTTAGTTAGTTAGTTAGTTAGTTAGTTAGTTAGTTAGTTAGTTAGTTAGTTAGTTAGTTAGTTAGTTAGTTAGTTAGTTAGTTAGTTAGTTAGTTAGTTAGTTAGTTAGTTAGTTAGTTAGTTAGTTAGTTAGTTAGTTAGTTAGTTAGTTAGTTAGTTAGTTAGTTAGTTAGTTAGTTAGTTAGTTAGTTAGTTAGTTAGTTAGTTAGTTAGTTAGTTAGTTAGATAGTTAGTTAGTTAGTTAGTTAGTTAGTTAGTTAGTTAGTTAGTTAGTTAGTTAGTTAGTTAGTTAGTTAGTTAGTTAGTTAGTTAGTTAGTTAGTTAGTTAGTTAGTTAGTTAGTTAGTTAGTTAGTTAGTTAGTTAGTTAGTTAGTTTAGTTAGTTAGTTAGTTAGTTAGTTAGTTAGTTAGTTAGTTAGTTAGTTAGTTGGTTGGTTGGTTAGTTAGTTAGTTAGTTAGTTAGTTAGTTAGTTAGTTAGTTAGCTAGTCAACAGTTAACACACAACAACAAACACAAAAACCCTCACAAGAAACACACAAAAACCCTCACAAGAAACACACAACAAACATTCACAATAAACAATAACTGCTGATATTAACAAACATCAACAACAAACACATAACTGTTGTGTGCTAAACTCACTTTACTATTCAAGTGTATAAAGAGTTTATGAAGCCAGAGTTGTGTGTTGACAGGCTGAGAATGTAATCATTTGGGGGTCAATGGAAGGCAGGGGATCTAGAGCCACTGGAGAAAACATGTGTTGCTCAAAGTTTATGATGAATTTGAGGACATCATGTATATTGTGTGATCAGTGTGGGTCGATAGCACGAGGGTCGTGAGCTCCGAGTGTTGGTGAGAAAACGGGATCCAAGTGTGGCTGACTGCGGGTGGGAAAAGTCCTGTGGTATTTTAAGTCAGTCGCCTCAGTCAGTCTTAGTGAAAGGACATGTTTATGCATGAGTTGTTCCAGTCCGGTGTGTTTTAACAAGGTGTTTTTATTCTGTTGGAGCTCGTGTGAACTGTCTAATGGGTCTCGTGGATCAGGAGATAGACTAGGGAATTCTGTCTGTATAATTTCCAGAATGGACTGTTGTGCGGTCCATCTGTTTGAGGGATCGGCAGTGTGCGGCTATAGACACAACAAGGGGATCTGTAAGGGCGCAGAACTTGCCGGGAACCTTATGTGCGTTAACTAACCTGGAGTGTGATGTGGGGAAAGTATTGGAGGCTGACTGACAGAATGGTAGTCAGCGATGCTTCAGTGACTAGGTAGCAGACTTTGGTCTGGATTTCTTTTAGGCTTTATTTTTCCCGTATGGTGCATCTACCTCAAACCCTCAGATTAGTGGGTCCATTGGAGGGACAACCATTAGGGGCTGGTCACTGTACATCACAAGGTGTATCTGACCGGTCGGGTGTGCGCTGCCCATAGCAGGCACCTGGGACATAGTTCCCTGGCTGTTCATCCATGTCTGGAAAACTGTCATCGACCACCGATTCATCTTCGTTTAAATCTGTCCATGATTGAGGAGGACGCCGAGACAGTCGGTGGAGTGGTTTTAAGAGGTCGTTCACCAAGAGTCCTGGAGACTGTTGAGTCAGATTCCCAGGGTGTTCAGCCTACTCCATAAAGGGTTTATTGGTTTGTTATGACTGTAGTAGCTGTTTCATCCTCTTCAGAGCGTTTGTAGACATTGTTTTATACCAGTTTGTGTTCGTCCACAATAAAGACTGAGGCACTATGAACGATCATAATTGGCGTGGTGTACTGTGTTACTGTACTTGTAGACAACGTTACTGGTTACTTAAGGACATGTGTTAGCTTGTCCAAAGTGTGTGGCGTATAGTTGTGCTTTTGTATGGGTTGGTACTCCTAACTCCAATTATAATCACCATCAGCATGTGCCGTGCCGTGCCAAGGAAAATGGGCGGCATGGTTGGAGAACAGAGGGAATCTAGTGTATGGGTTGAGGACAGACATTTATAGGCATTTATAATCAAACTCTCTAGACACTTGGCAACAACAAACACTCCCACTAAACAACGATAACTGCTTATATCAACAGACATTACCAAGAACAAATATTAAGAACAACAAATGACAGCAACCACAGATGATTAATTACAACAAACAACAACAACCTCTGAGAATCAACTGCCATATCTAAGACCCTGTCAAAGGTTGTCTGTTGATTTACTGGTCACACTTACTGCTTTCCGTCGAGCTGCTTGATCTTCTTTAAACTTCCTTGCTGCTTCTGACTGATGCTGATAAAAGACGGAAGCTCCATGATGGCACTGTGATAATATTTCCAGCTCGACTTTCATCTTGTTCAGAGTTGCCTCAATGACCCTTTGAGGGTTCAATGAAAATTAAGTCAGTATTAATCAACTCACAATGTGTTGGGTGGTTTGTTTTATAAGTTTTCTAAAAATCTGTCCTCATCCAGCTTTTACACTAACCCACCCTACCCTGTTTACTAAAAGTAAGAACATGATTATTTAGTGACAAGGCACACTGGGCATATCAGGCTAGATTGGAATTTGTATACACAAGTTCTCAATTCCTGATGTCTTCAGAGGTCATGCTGACCACCTTTACTTCTCAGGACATTTCCTGGTACCCATTTCAGGCTTGGCTGATTTAGGAGCCAAACCCGGCTCTACTGGCAAATCCGGACGAAGAATAAAAAGCCTTGGACGACTTAGTCAGAGTTCTCTCCCGTCGCCGCACTCCAAACAGTGATCGGAAAACAAACGAAACAAACGACACACTTAATCATCCTGCGGTTGCGTGTAGGGCTGCGCACGGTTGTGTGAGGCATCGTGACATCATCATATGGTTGCTTGCAGGGTTGCGTACGGTTGCGTGAGGCATTGTGAATGGTTGTGTAGTCATCAACATGCGGTTGTTGGATTAGAGTTAGGGGTAGGGTTAGGGGTAGGGTTAGGGGTAGGGTTAGGGTTAGGGTTAGGGTTAGAGGTAGGGTTAGGGTTAGGGTTAGGGTTAGGGGTAGGGTTAGGGGTAGGGTTAGGGGTAGGGTTAGGGGTAGATGTTAAAATTTTGACGTAGGATTTCGAAATACTGGCCGACAATCTGATGTTTGTGGGAGTGGCGCCACTGAAACTCTGCCAAATATGACGCCAATAGCGTGCGGCTGGTGCCCCCAATCGTTGGCGAATTGTGCGTGTGACCAGCATCCAGAGGCTCTCGATTGTTTGTGTGTGTGTATGGGACTGTGCGCGATTGTCAAATCTAACGCTAATCCTAACCCTACCGCTAACCCTAATCCTAATCCCACTCCCTAACCCTAACCCCTACCCCCTTAACCACGCAAATTTATCGATCATTAAAGCATACAAATCGGCAAACACCAACAAACAAAACACACCCCAAAAAAAAAACACCCAGAATTGTCCTGCAGCGTCAAAAAAAAACCCAGATCTGGGGGAAACAACCAAGCATTGGCAGCCCTGATGTCGACGTGACTGTCGTCTTTGTTTCGTTGTGGCTTTTCCGATCACTGTTTGGAGTGCGGCGACGGGAGAGAACTCTGACTAAGTCGTCCAAGGCTGTGTTGATTCTTCGTCCGGATTTGCCAGTAGAGCCGCCAAACCCTATTTGTTACTTTACTCCTTCTGTCTTATTCTGTTATTTTAACTTTTTCTGACTGAAACATTTGTTAGTTAAATTAACAACTTATCAAGATAGAGTGAGCTTGTGACTAAAAAGGTTAACTATAAATCAATGATTGTGGAAAGGGTGGGAGGGGGGGGGGGGGAATAAAGTGGGGTGGGAGGGATTTGGTGTTTATTATCTGTACCTTAACCAGCACCAGCCTATGTTCTTGTTCTTCTTGTTCTTCACATTCATTAGCTGGTAACTCTGGCAGAAAGTTCTGGTTATTCACCCACTTATGAACTCTGATCCGTTTCCAGAACTTGAGTTTTTTATGCATATTCGTCTCACAGATCTTGCTTATTTATATGCAGACTGTTGGTTCCTTGCTTCTCAGGCAGATGCACTCCAATCTTAAAGGAAACATCCTTAATTAGTAGCCTTGTATGACATGATTGTTGCTGTGGCAGTGGGTATATTCCTCCCCCCCCCCACCCACAAATGCAACCCAGGAACCCCCAGGGAAGAGTCTTTTATAACCTGTGTTTTATTTGCATTTCTTTATTTCTCCTCAAAGCTCTAATTCTGTCAGGCTATTTTATTTCTTCTATTCTGTGCATGCACAAGTTAAGTCCTTACCTCACTAAACAGATTAACTGCCAGATTAAGGGAAATATAACTAAGTAGTCAGATCAAGACCAGCTAACATTGGATTACATTCGTAACCATTTTGTGGTGCCCCAAAATAACTTTCAGCCGACACATCTGACTTTTGCAGGCATTCGTTCACTGGTTAACGTTCCTGGATATGACTGATAGTTGAGTATCCTTTACAGGATGTTGCAGAACCAACCCCTGCATTGTCGTGTGTTTTTTTGGGTTTTGTTTTTGTGTGTTCAGTAGTTTGCCACTGCGTCTGAACGGTCAGCTCTTGGTACCACTGTCGAAACCAACGCAAGACAAAACGCTCACAGCTGGGATCAAACCCAGCACAATTGCAATACCTAAGCCACAGACGCCGATCTGGATATGACTATACAAGTGAAAGGTGTTTCCAGGATTTGTACCTGTTTGGGTCTCATCCTTGAGACGTTAATCCTACAGACTGCAGTCCTGGAGTGAAAACATATTAAAAAAAAAAAAAACACACAAGAGAAAAAGTTCTTTAATTATTCTAACAATTCAGTAAGGGAGATAATTATAACTGTCTTACCCAATTTCCTCCCTGGGCTTAAAACATTTTGCCAAATTTTGCAAAGCTTTGCTGTAATCTTCTTCAACTTTGGACCTAACAGGAGAGTACAATATTTTAAACAGCATTCAAATGTGGACCATTACAAGAAAAATTATGATAAACCTTTTATATTCTACTCCTGTATTTAAAAAAAAATTAAAATGGACAATTACTCATTAGGGTTTCTAGAATTTGTACCTCGTTGATTCTCATCCAGCATATCTAGTCATCCCTTTGTTGGATGCAATGTTTCATTATTTGAAGCCCTGCTCATGCTCCTGCCAGGGGCCGCAATATAGCCCGGCCATAATTATGGACTAAAGGCTGAATGCGGTTTCCAGGACCTCTCCAAGGGTGATCCTCATCCACATGGTAGCACCTTGTGTCATCGGGTGTTTATCGCTTGTGTGATGTCCTGGTGGGGTAGAAGAAGATAGATAGATGATTCTCATCCTCTAGATATCAACCCTTCAGACAGCAATCATAGAAAGCAGAGACTTAAAAAAAAATCATCATCATCATCACCAACAAGTTCATCCCCCTAGCAAAGGGTAAGTAGATTCAGATGTTGGAGGTTAACTGCGACTTTCAAATGCTTTCTACCCATTTGGAGCGAAGACTCCCTGAAGCATGTTCAGAGTCTGAAACAATTACTGCATGTGTGGTCACTTGTTCTGCTTTCCATGCGAGTGCTCTGGAAACAGAGGTTATCTCCATGGTCTGTGGTATATAACTGTTTTATATGGTATGGCTGAATAGGATATCTGGTGTTTACTTAAGCAGCCTGGCATCTGAAGAGTGGCTCCAGAGTCACTGGGCAAACATGCAGCTGCAGTAGGGGTACACAGAAAGAAAAAAAAAAATCACCAATGCAATGTCCGTTAATTCTTCTTCTTCTTCTTTCGCTTGCTTGAAATTAATAATATATATCTGCAATGTTGTCTCTAGTATAAACTTCACTGTCTTTTGTAATTCACTCAGCGGGCCGTAAAGTTTGACTTGCACCGATGTTTCTCTTGGCCAAAAGTTTTGCCTTGATATGTTGTATTTGGGACAGTCTTGGAGGACATGGTCTGTTGTCAGAGGTGCCAATCCATATGTGCACATGACTGATTCGCTGATTTTTAATTTTTGATTTTAAAAATTTAATTTAAACTGCGAAGTCGATTGTGTAATCATTACTTAGTCATTGGTTGAGGATCTAGCATCACTACAGATGGAAATGCTCTGTTTCTGTGTACACAAAATGCCCTTCAGTGTACCACCGAATCTAAGTTTGACTTCAATCACTGGTGATTTCTAGAAAGAGTTGGTTCATGGCCTATACCTCTCCGAGGGTCCCCATGTGAAAGCGGTTGAGCTGTTTGAATATTGTGAGTTCAGTTTCTTATCCCATCCAATGATTTGTGAGTACATGTATTTAGGAGATCTTGGGAAGTAGCTGCAAGAGCTAACCAGCTCATACTTTGAGCAATGCTGCAGTGGGCGACCAGCCACTCTGTAATGAGATACTGAGCCTTTTGTGATAATATCTGGTGCAACTGAGTAAATCTACTCACCTTTAAGCAGCCTTGCAGTTAACCACCACCATCTAGATCTACACACCTGGGCATGCAGGAGTACATGGTAATGAAAGATCTGACCAGCTGGCAAGTAAGGTACCAATGCAAACGGGAAAAAACACAGAGCTGATATTATCAACGCTGTACGGACTAGGCTGGGAGATAATGGCGAATCTCTGATGCTAACACGACTGCGTGACCGAGGAATTAAGCTTGTTGAGGCATGTCTATGTCATCTTCGAGGTAAATACAGGAGATACTATAACCGACTCCTCATAGGAACAATCAATAGAGGTACCTTTGAGTGGCTGCTGCATCAGAGGACTGAGCACGGATGGGGATGTACAATGTGCAAAGACGTCGATCGTGGTAACATAACACCCTAAAACTCTCTTGAGATATTTTTGTTTAAAAGAAAAAAAAAAGAAGGCACCACTAATCAGGATGCAAGCATTTACCTTTTCTTGAGGTACTCTTCCAACTCTTGACACATTTTCTTGCTCTCCTGGTTGCGCTGTGTCAAGGCTGCATACCCAGAAACACTTCTCAAATCCCCTCCCTGAGTTCCAGAAAGAGAAGTTTACAGAAAGCCAAGTGAGCATTTTGACAAAACATGTAAAAAATAAGAAACAAAATTATTGCACTTTTTTCTACTATTTATTTCCCAACAAAGTATGGACCCTCAGCTAAGTTAAGTTACCCAAGTGGTTTCTGAAGCCAATTTCTAGAAATAGAAAAAGTCGCTGCTTTTCAACAAAGCATGTAATAAAGCAACTAATTAAGGATTTGCTGAAATCGAATGTTTTGAGATGAAAGGTGAAGATATCACAGCCTAGTAGTAAACCACAATTGAATGCCATTTTAAGGGATCATGCAGAAGAAGAAGAGTTAAGTTGAGTAAAGAACCAACATCACAGCATACGGGATACTCCTGCAAGTGCTCCATCCTCATCTTCAGCAGCTAGCGCAGAATTCAAGCTCTGATAGTTAAAAAATGAAGAAGAACTAAGTTGAACTGTTTTTTTTCCCCCCATCTTATTCATCTCATTCTCCAATTCTCTGCTTCATGTGCCTTAAGCCTTCCTTGATTTCTTCAGACCTGCTAGTTCCAGTGAAAGGACATACTAGTAGTGCTGTTAACAGGTTTTCTCAGTATTTGTCCTATCCAGCATCAGCATCTTTTCTTAATCTCTTGCTGCAATTTCGCTTTCTTCTCCAACATCCCCCCCCCTCCCCCCACCCCTTTCCAAGCTCCACATAAGTGATACTGTCTTGCATCATGTCATTCCCTTTATTTTGGCCAGGCTCTTATTTGAAAAAAAAAAACCCAAAAAACATGCTGGACAGAAATGTTCAAGGCAAGTGAAAAAGAGGTAGAAAGCAATAGAAATGGGCAGATAACATCAAGTGATGGACGAATAGTCGTCTCAGAGTAAAAGCACTAGGAAAAGATACAAAGCATGATGGACATTCACAGCAGTTAACCTTTATTTAAGAGACTGATTCTGTGCCTTCACCATTTTACCAGCACATTTAGGGGAAGCAAGCCAAAGTAGAGGAGTGGCAAGCCAACAGGTTAAGAATGCAGGGCTGTCATGCGAGAGAGCTGGGTTTAAATCCTCAGTAAGGTTGTGAATTTGTTTCTGCGTGGGAAGGAGGGGGGGGGGGGGGCAAAATTAACATTCTAACCTGCCCAGTACTTGGCGACAGCACCAGCCATATCCTAACACCTTAGGCTCGAAGACCCCTTCCCCCCACACCATACAAGTAGTAAAGACAGGCAGGAGTGGCAGTTTTTAAGAAATAGCAACCTTTTAAATATGAATCATGCCAAAGGAATTTTTTTCATGTTTTTGTCATATCAGATATGTAGTGCTAAGCTTATATTTGTATAGATCAATCGGCATTCAATGGATGATTTTTATTTAACACAAGCTGGTCACTCATTTTAGATTAGATTGAAAAGGCAGCCAAAGTCAATTTTTTGAAAGAAAATAAACATTCTGCCTTGAGACCAATTATGAGATATTAAAGATGGATGTGATTGATGTGGGCAATCAGTTCTCTTCCCGAATCAGTTTCTTTGAAGACATCTTCATTACTCTTTTTATCTGTCCAGGGTAACCTCATCATTTGTCTATTCGCTGACCGGCTAGTTTAGTCATGATTCTGTCCAGGGTAACCTCATCATTCATCTATTCGCTGACCGACTAGTTCAGTCATGATTCTGTCCAGGGTAACCTCATCATTTGTCTATTCGCTGATCGGCTAGTTCAGTCATGATTCTGTCCAGGGTAATCTCATCATTCGTCTATTCGCTGACCAGCTAGTTCAGTCATGATTCTGTCCAGGGTAACCTCATCATTTGTCTATTCGCTCACCGGCTAGTTCAGTCATGATTCTGTCCAGGGTAACCTCATCATTCGTCTATTTGCTGACCGGCTAGTTTTAGTCATGATTCTGTCCAGGGTAACCTCATCATTCATCTATTCGCTGACCGACTAGTTCAGTCATGATTCTGTCCAGGGTAACCTCATCATTTGTCTATTCGCTGATCGGCTAGTTTAGTCATGATTCTGTCCAGGGTAATCTCATCATTCGTCTATTCGCTGACCGGCTAGTTTAGTCATGATTCTGTCCCGGGTAATCTCATCATTTGTCTATTCGCTGACCGGCTAGTTGAGTCATGATTCTGTCAAGGGTAACCTCATCATTTGTCTATTCGCTGACCAGCTAGTTCAGTCATGATAGACTGTGCATGTTAGGCTTTTTTATTATTTTTGCCTTAACAAAAATAATCTTCACCAAAGTCTTCATCAACAAATAAAACAACTCTTGCCCTTAACTATCAAATAGGCCAAAAGAGGAGATGACACAGATCATGAGGTACACAAAGAAGAAAACAGAAAGATAATGTCAAAGAAACTCTATAACAACACATTGTTTTTATAGTCGAGGCAGCCAGAAGAGCAGGAAGCCGAATCTTATATCTCCCTCGATACCAGAAGCGATACAAGAGGAAGTAAAGAAGAAAACAGATAACTTTTGAGGGTTGAACAGGCTACTTTTGTTAAAATTACTAATACTCTTGCCTGTCAATTCTAAAGTCTAGCTTTAAATTTGCACCCAGGCGATTCCTTTTAAATGGACTTAGTTTCCCATGTCTATCCAGTCTAAAATTAGTCTACAGAAAATCAAAGGTATATCATCATTAACATATTGTTCTGTTATATATCACATAAGGCTGGCATCAAAGTTCTCCATTCCATTCTATCTTGTGCAATCATTTCAATATCATGGATGGAATCAAGTCGAGCACCTTTGCCCTCTCTCATCAACATTCACCTTTGGGTTTCCCCTGTGTGTCCTCTTTTCATAAATTCATTTGTTTATAATTTCAGTGCCCATGCAAAATTTGGACTTAATAATCTACCCAAAGTATTTCAGGATCCTTGCCGGTGCTACAGAGTCTGTGCACTGTGCTGAGCTTCTTTGGACTCAGACTTGAGTTAGAAGAAGAACAGATCACTTATAGATTACTACCCGTGTGCCATGATGTTGATCCGTTGTTCAAACCTTAAACCTCAAACCTGTTCACTTTTCCGCAGGTGAAGCTCAATATATGACTATATTTTTTTTCTTACAACTGTTGGCACAAGCGGTTGCCAGACATTTCTTTTATTCTGGTCTTTCTTGAATTCATCCAATTTAATGTTTATAACATTCATTTCTCAGGCAATTTTTTAAAGCATTTAACTTTCATTTCATATTTATTGGCTCTTCATTACATTACATAATGAAAAATATTAAATGGAAAAAAAAAAAATAAAAACATTAAAATGAAAATGTGTAACTGGGTTTTAAACTATATTCTGTTCAGGCTTTTAAAAGTTGCTGTTGTCTTGCCAATACATATCACAATTTCTTTTCTAAATAAGTAACCTGTAATTTAATTTGTTTCATATCTGTGTGACAACCACATTAAGGGGGAGTACTAGCAGAAAATCAGTGGTGTTAAAAAAAAAATCAATAAAAAAATTCTATTTTAAATATAGGACTCTCAAATTTTTCAGACATGATGACCATATAATTAGGCTATCATACAAAACAAACTTCTCTGGAATTCAATATATACATGTAAAATAATAGGTTTTTAAAGGGAAAAAAATAGTTTTGAAATATGCAAGGTATAGATGCTGCCTTGGAATTTTTTGTAGGGAAATGGTACAGTCAAATTCCTTCAAATTTAAACTGCACATACAAAAATGGTGTGAGTGTAGCACTTTCTATGGAAAATAGTACACATTTAATAGATTTGTAAAGCTACCTGAAATTTGCTTCATTTTTGTGTGTGGAAAACTATAATTTGGAATGTGAGTAAGCATGCACAATTTTATACAGTTTGGTTAATATCTGAGAAAGTTATACAAGGCTAAGTAAAAAAAAAAATGTTACATTTTACAACCAACAACATTATTTGTTTGGCAAAATATTCTAGATTTTTTCCTCAATGACACCCTGTCAAATAAGGAAAGCCTTCAGATCGAGCTTGTACCTCCTCTAATCCAAGTCGCTTCCTCATTCTTGCACTTCTCGCTTCCAATGATGCTTCTGTTGCTTTCTTCTGAGAGTTTTTCAGCCGTAACGTTTCAGTAGAGATGAAACATTCTGACGTGAAACGTCCACACAATAGTTGCATTGCAACAAGGGATGCTTCTAGGCCTTTTGCTCCTGCTAACTGCAATCTTAACAGCTACTAATCCATGGTACTTGTGTTTGGGGCAATGTCGCCAAATTGTGCTTGTTTGTTAGCATTCTGGTGTAGTTATCTAGACATTTTCTCAACAGGTCAGGGTCTGATGTGGAAATGGGATCCTTTAGTTTGCTTACTTCTTTGCTACTCTGATGTTTTGACAACTACTACAATAATTTTTTTTTAAACATACCGAAGTTTAACATTAACACAACACCCATCCCTGTCAGTTAGTATAACAGGTTATTTTGGAACCATTAGGTGCCCAATATAATGTTTCACACAGTTGAGCGGGTTTCTTGGGGGTGTGCTCCCTTTGGATTTGCATCAGAATAGTGAGTCTTTAAGTCACTGGGTGTCAATCTTTCAGGCTGAAATCCTGGAGGGATGTGGTAAGGGTGGGGGGGGGGTGGGTGGTGGGGGGGGGGGATAGAATTTGAAAGAAGGAAAACTTATTCACATGCATACACTATAAAACAATTCAAGACACATTTTATTTTTACAGAGTTAAAGTGACACTTGAAGCCAAACGGAATTTGTTGCCACTTACCCAAAATACATCTGCATATGTTTTGTAAGTCATGGTCCTGCTGTTGAGACTTTCCCACAGGTTAGATGTTTGGTGGTCCCTGGACAAAGTTTCTGCGTCTCTGATCTGTTGAAAACAATGAGTGTGTTTCACTTTCCTGTGTCAAAACTGGGAATAATTTACACACTCAGGATCTTCAATATATGATTGATTTAAGTAAAGTAAAGATCCCTTTTCACGCCTTTGGCTCATGGGGCATATGGAAAGAGCACCCATATTTTAAAAGACCATCGGCACTAGGTGGGCAATGTAGTCATCATTACACCGGCCATCTTTACTTCCCCGTGACATCCATCCTGGTACCCATGTTAGGCTGTGTCGACCTGCGAAGCCCCTTACCATGATAAAAATCCACTCAGCCAGCGGTGGGTTTCGATCGCGGTATGTTGGAATTACGAGTTGGACTCGCAACGCCTAAGCCACGGACGACTGTAATGAAAAGTAAATGACTTTTTTTTACGATAGTGGTACTTTGGGCATATGATTCCAAAATGAACTGTATGAACTAATCGACACTCGAAGAGATCGTGCTGACCACCTTTACATCCCATGATATTTTCTTGTAAACATTTCAGGCTGGGTTGATCTGGAAGCCAAGAACATTTTTTTTCCAGATCAGTTGGTGCGGATTGACACCACAGCACTTGGGGCATTCCCCTTAGCACTCTGTCCCACATCTTCAGAAGCAAGTGCAGGGATTCATTTCTGATTCACCTTCAACTCAAATCCCTTAAGTGTTAAACGTCGGTCCGTTCCAGTGGTCATTCTTTGCAGAACCACTCTCTTCAGAGCACCGAATTGATGTCTGTGCCTCCACACTGTTTCCTTTGCTCCCAAAAGACTTTTTCATCTGGTTTGTCAAGCATAAGTCTGAGCAGACTGGAACCCAAGATCTTTGTGCGCCCCTATGATTTAGAAAAATATCCTTTAACTAAGATGACATTTGCTGTTGAGAATGGCACACTGTGGGAGAAACGTTATAGCCCAATGATGATAATGACGATCACTTATATTTCCTTGTAATAAAATAGGGACAAACCCCAAGGGGAAATTAGACACTGCACCAAGAGCGGGACATTGCACTGCACAGTCTAGGCCAGTGGTTCTCAATTTTCCAAATGCCGCCATCCTTTTTTACAGTTCCTCGTGTTGTGGCGACCCCCAAACATACAATTATTTTCGTTACTACCTATATAACTTCAATGAATATGTGTTTTCCGATGGTCTTAGGCGACAACTGTAAATTAGTAATTCGACTCAAAAAAGGGGTCATGACCCACAGGTTTGATAACCGCTGGTCTAGGCTGAAGGACATAGAGGTGCAGCATAGAGCTGCAAGGAAAAAAATTAACTCACTTCCCTAAGGGGACGTTTCATTAATCAACACGTAACATGCATTATCAGTCGTTTTACCCTTATGGAGTTTTTGAGGAGGAGCTCGGAGCACCTATGGATCTGTCCAGGTGCTGCTGTGATAATCTTACCAATCACTAAACAGGAGGGAGTAACGTACGCTATAAAATGATTCGATGGTTAATGTTACAGACCCACCCACACTGGACTAGAGGTTACGTCGTAACAGTTTTGTGGTGATGTCCCAATTTACTCGTGGGAGTCGTCGTGGTGTAGCGACTAGACGCTGGCCTGCTGATCGGAAAGTCGTGGGTTCGGATCACGACGGTACCTGGACTTTTTTTCATAATGACCTTAGCTCCCAGGTCAAACCAGCCTTGAGTGGGTACCAATTGCAGTTCTGGGAAGTAAAGGCGGCTGGCGTGATGCTGACCACATCACCTATCAGGTGCCGTTGGGTCTGTAAAATATAGGGCTAGCCCTATATACACAATACGCCTGAAAACGTGGAACTAGGTCCTTTACGTTTTTTTAAACAATATTGTTATACCTGTGCTAAAGGGTTGAACGGGTTTTTCTGGATTTGGACCTGTTTGATCCTTGTGATGTTAATCCTACTGACTTCAGTCCTGGAAAGGGAAAACGGTTTCACTTTAAGAAGCTGAATATCATGTCATTTGTTCCCCTGTACCGTCAATCATTTCCGACACAGGTATTCAGCATGGTGCCATCTTCTCTCTTGTTCTATACCTTGTTTCTCTTCCCTTCCAGCCTCTCTGTTGTGACGGCGTATTTTAATTTGTCCTCTGTTCATCACGTGTCCAAATAATGCGGACGTTAACAAGTATTCACTATTTCTTCAATTTTTTAGTTACTTCTTCTTTATACTTCTGCAAACACGGCTGCCACCTTGTGTTGTACTTTATAGCTAGGCTGGATATATGCGCCTTTCGGGTCAACACATAAGATTTTAGCAAATTAGTATCTGGACGTCTTGATGGCAGCAGTAAGCCTTACCCACCACTTCCACGCGTCCATGGAACCCACATAGGGTAGGTATTTAATTTTAACAGACATAGTCCATATGAGCCCACAAGGTCTCATTGCAGATAATACGAAAACTAACGGAAAAACGATCGCTGACAGCTGTATAATGTGACCTATTAGATATCATTCATTCAACCGGATATGCTAAACGTAAACTTGAGTCGCAGTTTTCTAGTTTCTGGCCTGTGTCGGTTACTTAGAGCTGTCTAGTTTCTGGAATGTCGGTTTCGCAGAGCTGTCTAGTTACTGGACTGTGTCAGTCACAGTTTCTGGACTCTGTCGGTTACATATGTTTCCTGGGCTGTGACTGCTGCTGTCGTTACATAAACTCATACTTAACGACTGGGTACATAATTCTGGCAGTGGCAAATTAAGACCTGCCTGTTTTACATGTCCCCTCTCCAGAAATACCGTCTGTAGGATTGACATCCACAATATAACTGTACTATATGGCTTAAAACAGTCGGCTTATGTGGCTCCATAATGCCGGGGTGTCGGGTTCGATCTCGGCTGCGGACTGTTTGTCTTGCGTTGGGTTTGACAGTGGTACCGAGAGCTGACTCGTTTAGAAAGCAATGGCAAAGTACTGAACGTAACATTTGCAAAGAAAAACCACAACAGCCAAAAAATGCTGGGGTTGGTTCAGCAACGTCTTAAATGACACACAGCTAACTTATATAACTTAACAGGTAGAAATCACAGAAAGACAGTTCACCTGTTAAGCGATTTATAAGAAGTTAGTTACGTATCCTTTACAAGGTATTGCAGAACAAACCCCGGCAATTTTTGGCTGTTGTGGTTTTTCTAGGTAAATTTTACGTTTATTACTTTGCAACTGTCCTCTGAACGAACGAGTATATAAAACAGGCATCTGAGTTTAAATATCCTGGAGCAATATTTACCTAAGATAGTAAACTGGACGAGGAAGTTGACATATGATGCAGTAAAGCAGGCTAGGTATTGGGACAGCTAGTCCCCCTCTTACAGCATAAGGCAATCCTAATTCGCACAAAGAAACATTTCATACAAAGCATATTCATTCCCACCCTATGCTATCAGTGTCAGACGTGGTCACTCCCAACAAAACATAAAAAGAAAATGAGGTGTTTAGGAAAGACTGTAGAAGTGACCAGAAGAGATAAAGGTCATACGAGATAAAGTCGGCATACAACCAATTCTAAATTACAGCCATTAAATGTTTTGCTCACTTCTTTAGAATGCCTTCTGATATTATACTATGCAAGGCATATGCCAAAAGAGGAAAGGGACGTAGAGCAAGAGATATACCACGAACAAATGGGAAGATAACATCAGAGAAACTCTACAGCACCACGATGTGTATATGGTCGAAGCAGCCAGAAGAGCATGACGCAGAACCTTACATCTCCCTCGACACCCGAAGCAGTAAAACTGGGCGTAAAGAAGATCTCCTCTCTCCCAACTGTTTTCCAGCCTACACACATCTCTGACTGTATCTTCTGCTTGTGCCATCCAAGATTTCCCTCTAATCAAGACGTGACCGTTAGCTGTATCCAGAAGAGGGCGGTGTTTGTCTGCAGATACGCTGTGGTATGAGCTGTCTTGTAACACGCTGAGCCTGTCTTCAATACGGATCTGTCCGGAGTGCTGTGAAGATGGTCCTCACTTATCACTTCTGTCTAAAAGTATCCTGCTGTTATTGTTGTAATCATTCCGTCATAAGGCACAGTAGACGCAACAATATTATATATGCACGAGTGCCATATTGAAACTATTTTCGTGTCTGCGCTCCACCGATACTAAAAGGAGAATGTTGATGTTTGGAAAACTCGGCACATATTGCGTGAAAAGTGTACCCATATTTTTGCTTTCTTTAGCCTCACACCTTAATGTAATTATGCCAGGTTGGTCGGTAAGCCTTTGAAAAACTATTTGCGTGAGTCGCAACTTCAAGTTTAAATGACGCTCGAACAGGATGGCAGTAAAGATAAGTATTACTGATCCAGTAGGCCATCACGTACCCTGTTCAAATGGATCTGATTCTACCTTTCTTGAGATCTTTACCTTAACCTGGTTAATTCACTTGTGGCTGACGGTCCTTAGCTTAAGAGAGAGGGATAAATCCACTTTCCGTTATCAAGTAAATCATAGAAGGCAACTAAGTGTTTGCTGACACTGAGTCAAAAAAGTGCAGATATCGCAATCTAGCTGCAAACTACAACAGCGCAGATATAGATGCGTTTGCTGTAAACCACAAGCAGCTCACATATCGCGGTTGGTTGAATAATGCACCTAAAATTGTCAACGTATAAGGTAATCTGCTTTATGCTAGTCTCTTTTTTAAGGGCGAAGAAGAAGAAGAAGAAGAAGAAGAAGAAGAAGAAGAAGAAGAAGAAGAAGAAGAAGAAGAAGAAGAAGAAGAAGAAGAAGAAGAAGAAGAAGAAGAAGAAGAAGAAGAAGAAAGAAGAATATGGAAGAAAACGATGGAAGAAGAAAAAAAAAAAAGACGACGAAAGAAGAAGAAAAATAAGAAGAAGAAGAATAGGGAGAAGAAGGAGGAGGTGGAGGAAGAAGAAAAAAAAAGGAGGAAAAAAAAACAAAGGAAAAAGAAAAAA